CTTATCAGTCCTGGAATGATGGGCCAATTGAGTTCATTACCCACACTCAGCTTCTCCTAGGGCATGAATTAACCTTAAGTGATCAGGATGCTGGTGCACCTACTCACTCCATGTCATCTGTCGCATGCACATGGAAGCAGATCACATTTTAATATAATTAAGAACTTACCTATGCATCAATATGTTTCATCACAGTTTGTTTAGGAGAAAAGCTTCCCAAAATCTATGCACTCCCTTTTTGAGGAGTTAAAATCCAAGTAGAATACCCAAGAACATTGCAATAAATCTTTCAAAATTAGAATTCTCCCAGGCCCTTACAAGTGGCCTATATTTAGTCTAACATACATAGGCCTGATGCCACAAAGTGCAGCATGTAGGCAGACTGCTCCATCACAGAAAGCACCACTCACTTTGCCAGAGCTACACGTGGATGCAGCAATCTGTCTATATGCTATAAACTGCAGGATTGGAGCCACAATGAGCCAAATTCTGCCCTTAATTCAAATCTTCCAGATTGCCCATTTTTACCTTTAACAACTATATACCAATAGGCCTTTCAGTATTCTCGTGTGTAAATACGTGACTGTACAAAGAAAACATACTGTCTGATACATAGCTTTAAATACATTTATATATCAGTATCATATTCACATTTTAGAGGTAGTTTGAAGTTAAGATTTTCAACACAGGAATAATTCTAGGTGCTCAAAGTGTATATTAAGGCACCAAGTCATCAGATTTTCCAAGGTGGTGAGCATTCAGTAGCTCCACTGACATTTTATAATTAGGCTTCTTATTTACATGCCTAATTATGGATTTTTTAAAATCTGACACTAAATTTTAGCCGAAACACACATATGAATCAGATTCTGCTCTTGCAGTGGGATAATTCAGGAGCAATCCCCATGAAAGGAATAAATATATATTATAGATCTATAGCATAAAATGGTGTGCGACTGAAATCCAGCTGCATATGAGCACCACTGCTGCAAAAATTCTCACTTTAATGGGACTACATACCTGCTTAAAATTAAATATGTGCATAAGTGTCTACAAGATCATAATCAATGCTGTTATGTTATATGCACCTATATTATCTTTGAAAAGTCATGGAAGACAGGAAAGATTACAGGAGACTGGAAAAGGGCAAGTATAATGCCCATGTATAACAAGGGAAACAAGGACAACCCATGAAACTACAGATCAGTCAGTTTGGCTGTGTCTACACTGGCGCGTTCTTGAGCGAAAATGGCCACTCTTGCGGAAAAACATGCCGCTTGTCTACACTGGCTGCGCGTTCTTGCGCAAGTAAACTGACGTTGTACTGTAGAAAATCAGGGCTTCTTGTGCGAGAACTCTGACTCTCCCTCTCAGGAAGAAGCCCTCTTGCGGAAGAGCTCTTCCAGAAGAGGCCAGTGTAGACAGGCAACATGAATTTCTTGCGCAAGAAGCCCCTATGATTACAATGGCCATCAGAGCTTTCTTGTGCAAGAGAGCATCTACACTGCCATGGATGCTCTTGCGCAAAAGCACATGCCAGTGCAGACGCTCTCTTGTGGAAGACTTTTTGCACAAGAACTCTTCCACAAAAGAGTTCTTGCACAAGAAGCTGCCAGTGTAGACGTAGTCTTTAACTTCTGTACCAGAAAAAATAATGGGGCAAATAAGGAATTAAGGAATCCACTTCCAAACATCTAGAAGATAATAAGGCAATAAGTAACATCACAGATTTGTAAAGAAAAAATCATGTCAAATCAACTTGTTAGATTTCTTTGATAGGAAAACAAGCCTTGTGGATAAGAGGGAAGAGATAGCTGTGGTAACTTCAGTAATGCATTTGATACAGTCTCACATAATCTTCTAATTAACAAACTAGGGAAATACAACCTAGATAGGACTACTATACAGTGGGTACATAAATGGCTGGATAACTTCCCTGAGAGTGGTGCACAGTCATGCCGGAAAGGCATAACAAGTGGGATTCCACAGGGATCAATTATGGGACCGGGTCTGTTCAATATCTTCATCAGTGATTTAAATGATGGCATAGAGAGAAAGAACACTTATAAAGTTTACAGATGATACCAAACTGGAAGGGATTGCAAATGTTTTGGAGGATAGGGTCAAAATTCAGAATGATCTGAAAAAACTGGAAAAATGGTCTGAGGTAAATAGGATGAAGTTTAATAAGCACAAATGCAAAGTATTCTACTTAGGAAAGAACAACAAAATGGGAAGTGACTGTATAGGAAGAAGTACTGCAAAAAGAGATCTAAGGTCACAGTGGACTAAAAGCTAAATATAAGTCAACAGTGTGACACTGTTGCAAAAAAAGAAAACATCATCTGGGTATGTATTAACAGAAGTGTTGTAAAGAAGCCAGAAACAACAAGGGAGGTTTAGCTTGGACATTAGGGAAAACTTCCTAACTGTCATGGTCGTTAAACATTAAAATAAATGGTCTAAAAAGGTTGTGGAATCTCTATCACTGGAAATATTTAAGATCATATTAGACAAACACCCGTTGGGATCGTCTAGATGGTACTTTGTCCTGCCCATGAGTGCAGTGGATTGGACTTGATGATCACTCAAGGTTCCTTCCAATTGTATAATTCTATACATGACTTATTATTTATCATGCACACAATCCCCACATTGAATCACATTTTCAAACTTTTACAATATTTTTTTCAGATCTTTGTATGTATACATGGCTCACTAATAACCTCTTAATTTAATGGGACTTTTATATTAAATTTTATTTTAAAATTAATTACTCTTTAATTTTAATTTTTAAAAAAATCTGAATTCTTCTTCTATGGATTTATACAAGAAGGATGTTCACCACAACTCTCCAGTATTGCACATAAGTGTGAGATTAGTTAATCGCCTGCCTAGGGAAATTCAGAAACAGTATTAGAAATCCCTAGAACTAAAATTCAAAACAAATATATTTGTGACAAAGGAGTAATATGAATGTATGTGAGGTAAGAATTTGATCTAGCTTCTTTACACAAAATTTGTTTCATATACATTTTGAATTTGAGTTTAGAAATCTAAATAATATTATTTTAATATGTTAAATTAGTCTGACAACACATTATATTATGGGTGACTTATGGTTCAAACTCTGAATGACATCAATAAGCTACATGTAACTTAAATGAGCCTTGAAGTGAACTCTCTGGGTACGTCTAAACTACATCCCTCTTTCGAAAGAAAGATGTAAATTAGACATATCGAAATTGCAAATGAAGCCGGGATTTGAATTTCCTGTGCTTCATTTGCATAATCGCATCATGGCTTTTTTTTTAAAACGCTATTTTGAAAGTGAAACCACAGTCTAGATGCAGTTCTTTCAAAAAGAAAAGAACTTTTTCGAAAGATCCTATACTCCTCAAAAAATTAGGTTTACAGGATTTTTTGAAAAAAGGCTTTTCTTTTCGAAAGAACTGTGTCTAGACCATGGTTTCCCTTTCAAAATAGCGTTTTTAAAAAAACATTGTGACTTGATTATGCAAATGAAGCATGGGAAATTCAAATCCCGGCTTCATTTGCAATTTCTATATGTCTAATTTACATCTCTCTTTCGAAAGAGGGATGTAGTCTAGCCTCAGTGAACTCAAAGATCTTCACTGCAGTAAAAATGGGAACTGCAGAAAATTTATGCTTTGCTGATCATTTTCTGTTACTAGACCAAAGAAAAAGAAGTGTGACTATTTAAAAGTTAATTTTACAAAAAGATTTCAAAACATGGTGCAGGGTGTTTTTTTGTTTGTTTATTTTTACAAGAAACAGTATTAAAGCCTCATTAAGCCATAAAAAGGGGGGAAATACTTGGAAGCTGACATTTTTAGATTTTACCTGTGGGTGGGTACATACATATACATATATATATATATATATATATATACATACATATATACATATATATATACACACACACACACACACACACACAGTATATAAACAGAGCTAAAGATGTACGTATTGTGTAACTCAAACACATCCAGCTATACAAACATGGTACACAATGGAAAATCTCAGTATTACTATCATTCCCTTTGCACTGTGTTTTATGTAAACACAGTTATACGTTTATACATATACACTATTCTAAAAATCTTTTTTACATGCTTTATAAACAAATTTCATATCTGTAAACCCAATTTCACCTACATATTTTAGATTAATAGATTTGTCTTTCATTTAGTTCAGACATCAGATTAATGCTTTATTTGAGTAAGCAAGACTGAGATTGAAATTACATATTTTTAAGCATTCACATATTTTTGTAAGAAAATAATCTATGTATAATATTCTCCAATGTCTCTTTAAACTATACATCAATAGAATATTTTTTCTTCATAAATACATGTCTTTATTAGAAAAACAAATTTGTTTGCCCTTCTTTTCAGTTAGTTTTCTGAAATTTTACATACCAAGATGACCACAAATATTACTTTGGCTTTTTAAAATGAATAGTGTGTTTGATTGTTTCCTTGTTTCTAGCTACTTTGGTCTTATCCTCAGGGACAGAGGGAAGAGTAACTTCTTTGACAGTAAAATATGCTAAACAAATGACATGTCACTGAGTAAATTAGCATCTCCTTTCTGATCAGCCAGGTCATGTTTTCTTTTCAAAGTCCATGGCCCCTTGACAGAAAATAATGATTATCTAATAAACTTCCTTAGAAAAATCAATATATTGATATTCATCTCTGAAACATCTGCCTAATAATAGATTCTGTTAACCCATTAAGGAGAAAAATAAGAGGCACTTAAACATTTATTTACATTGATCAAAGATTATTCATGCGCTAATTTTCTTGAAAATCTGATTCATTAAAAGGAAATATGTCTTGTTAATTAAAGGAGTAAAAAGAAATACAAAAATTATTCATTTTTTTACACCAGCTTACCTAAATGACTAGCCAGCACCAACCAGAATATAAAAAATACAATGTTATAGCACTAGCTGTAACCATTGAATTACTTACCAAAAAACTTCCAAAGGCTGAGTTAAATATAGCAGCTGCCTAGAGAAATACAAAAAAGAAGAAAAGATCACACACAATAAAAATAACTCTAGCACAAGAACAGAATGTTATGTCCCCTTCTCAGCAAGCCTTCATACTCTCTAAGTACACAAACACCTGATTACACAGTTAGTCATTGCAGTGGCCTGTAGCTTCCTGATGAATTCCAGCTATCAACTCATAAATAACGGGTTGTAAAAAACCCAAATGCCACTGCATTTTATATCTTACAAACTTATAATGGGTACCAAAAGAGTCCCCCAAAATACCTAGTATCTCAGATTCGCTGATTTTACTATAATTCACTGACAAGAATTTTACATTATTGACCTAGTCATTACAATCAACTACAACAAGAAGCATCTTAAGGGGC